AACCATAACAAATAGATTTATAAATATAAATATTACATGCGTATAAACAGAGACACTTAAATCGAAGAGAACAACGAAAAGAAATAGATGAGAGAAGAGAGCTATCGACATAGAAATCAAGATGTTTGTCATTTTGTTGAAAGATGATAAGACCTTTTTTGGAAGAAAACATCATATGTTCAACAGGTTAAATGTTCAGTCTATGTGTCCAGACCCTTATACTTTCATGGACTCCACTAAATTTATTTAAGATGAAAAATTAAGAGATTCGAAAACTTACGGATATTGTATACTCCTGATTGTCCTCACATAAGGCCTATAACAATAAAATTAGTGGAAAAAAATAAAAAAATAAGCTCACGGTGAAATAAATCGTGGAATTGTGGCGCTCTGCCTTTTTTGGACTAATTCGACGGCGTCCAACCGCGGCATTCGCGGCTGTCCTCGCCTGAGCTTCTTCTAAGGAGTTGGCCTCACGCTGAGCAACGCCAGCACTTAAAAGCTGATCGACATTCACCAAAGGTCGTTGCGCATGACGAGAATAAACATACAAATTCTTGCGACCAGTTGATAACTATTCAGACAATTATTTGAGAAAGAGTTCAATAATAAACTTACAGTTACGACAATGGACCCGGTTACAGCTTCAATTTCCTGGATAAACTCAGCTACGGTTAGCGGGCCTTGGATGTTTTCTAGGTCAGTAGAGGACGCGGCGGAAGATGGCGATGTGCTGGAATGTGACAAAGCCTCTTGATCAGCCATTATTTCCTATAACTAAATGTAACATTAAATGCCATGTTAAACCATCAAACGTGAAGTTAAAACTTTCAAATAATATGGTAATAATTCGATACGCTGTGTAGTACATAGGAAATTTTGGAATATGATGTTTTAAAATAAAATAAAAAATTTAATCAAACATACAAAAACGCATTGCTTTTTAATGTAAATTGAATAGGATATGAGAGAATTGAGCAAGAACTATGGATGAGAAAAATTGGAGATGCATAATGCCAGACCAAAGACGCGGGGTTTCGCATAGGTAAAAATAAATGAATTGAAAGACAACTAGGAGAGAGAGCGTGAAAATAAGTTGGTAATAAAAGACTGTGGAGAAAAGAACTACAATAACAACGAGTGCGACAGAAGAAAGAAAGAAGGAAAGAGGAAAAAGAGACGCGACAATCAGCCTAGTCTGTCTACATATGCACTAATCAATACCCAGTGAGCCAGTGACGCATAGGAAGACAACATAATCAATAACCATTTCCTTGAACTACTTCAAAAGATCATATAAAATTAGAACGTCAAAACTATTTACATACTTTGCAGCAAAGGATATTTTATACATCAGCTCAATTGTACAATATTAAGGCGAGTTATATGTGAAAATGATTTAGATAATGAATTCAAAAATGATAAAAAGGAAATGAAAATGAATAAAAACTAAAATTCTTTTAAAAAAAGCAAGAAGAACACCTGAAAACCCCCCCGTACTAGTATAAGAATTAAATTGTTTTTTTTTTATCTACATTTTGAGCGCATAGTTTAATGGGCGGAGCCTAATTTAGGGGGGGTTAAATAAAACAGCGCCGTTTCACCGTCTTTTTCAGTTACCTTCGGTTTTTCAAAAGCCAATTAGCATATTTAGAGGCATTCATACTACGATAAGACATTTAATGCTTAAAATATATAAAAGTGAAAATTGTATAATGTATTCATAGGCTTCGATAACTAACTTTTGTATTTCAAGTGTACGAGGATTATGTTTTCGGTTTGACGTATTTTGAGCTGATACTTTTTTCTTGAACTATGGTACTTTCCGTCTCATTCAGATGTTCTGCTATTTCATAATTTCCCTGTTCTCGCCAATAGAAAGAAAAGAAAACGTTGATTTAAGGGGAAAGTTCTTTAATTTTGATTACGAATCGAAGGGAGGAAAATGGAAAGAGGAGGAGTGAACACAAAACGGACAAGATATAGAAAAAGAAGAGGGAAATGAACAGGAAGATGAAGCACTTAGAGAATCAGGGAAACAGATCATGCTCTTGGAGCTATCAAGATATTCGTTTTAATGGCAGCAGAAGAGAGGGTCCTATAAAAAGCGAATTAAAACTCAATCATCTGGCTAATTATGATAAATTATAGAATGACAATGATTTTTCTCCGAAGTTTGCAGATTTACTATCATTTTGAACCAGATTATGGGAAAAGTTACAAGATACTCAGACAACGAATAAAACTGTTCCAAAGTTAGTTTTGGAACGGCGTTCAAAGAATTGAAATAAATTGTTGGAAGTAGCAAACAGTCTATCTTAATAAACGGACGTGTTGCATTTGACAGCCATTACTTCTTTGCCTTCTATAATGCAAGCAACAGGTGGCACGATTTCTGCTGGCATAACCTGAGAACTTCGAATTA